CAAGCCAGTATGACTATGTGAGCGAGGCGCGCCCATATCGCATATGTATCCGTTCATAAATCTGTGCACACGTATATACAGACAGACAGTCAAATCTTTCTTCACTAATTATTACCCATTACGAATCCCATATCATTGCTGAGAATTTTCTCCATCCTTATCCATCCTTTTCATTTTTCATCTTTATTGTTAAGCCTCTATCTATTTCAACAAAGCTTGTCTTGTCAACTGCTACTTTTGAAGGTACAATTCCTCCTCTTTCGTTTTTTTTTTTTTTTTTTTTTTTTTTTTTTTTTTTTTTTTTTCTCTCTGGTGTTTGAGCTTCCACAGATCTGTTTTGTGTTCATTTCGATACTTAGTGAGTTAACGGGTCGACTCTGTTTATCGTTCTTTGTTTCTTTCTTCTTTTTACCTGTTTCTCCTAAGCTGAATAATGCTTCTTTGTTTCGATCTTTCTGATCTAAATTTTTGTAAAATATTATTGCTGATGTTTATGAGTCGGTTCAGTATAGCTGCTTTGAAGCAGTTTGATTGTATGCTATATGAACACGGTGTTGGATCTTAATTATATGACAGACTTGCTCGCCGATTTCTGTAATTTTTGTCGAATCGGTATTTGTGCTTCTTTTCTTGTGATTGCAACTGCAAGTGACTGAAAATGGATCTTGGTTTCATATAAAATCAGGTTTAGATTTACCTTTCTCGTACCATATTGCCTTTCTCGCGGTGCTGCTATTTTCAAACGTTTGAAAGAATGTAATTTTATATGTTTTTCTAGCTATCTGGGAATCACTTTAGAGCTTGAAAAACCATTTTTTTTTTATTGTCCTTAATGAATATTACTCCACACATCTTGAAGTGTTCATATGATTGGCAATTTTTCTCGCTTATGCGGTGTAGATGGTTGTCTTGGCAGGTTAGGTTGGTGAGTCGGTAGGTGAGCTCAATCATTGCATCTTGGAAAGGACTGCATAAGCACCCCCCTTAATGTTTTGTTTGGTCTTTTTCATATTTAATTGACCTTTTTAGCGAAAGGAAGGTGTTCATATGTGATTGAAACATGGCCAATGGCCCCGGAACACAAACTCTACCAAGTTTAATGCTGGATCTCATTTGATAAAACATCAATTTGTAGCGAGGTGCTACTTTACTTTATATTAGTAGCTTCTCTATTTATGTGATTTGAATTATTTTTTGTACTTAGAAGATGAATTTAAGTTGTCTTAGTTTTACAAGTGCATCCCTGTCCCATATTCTAGAATGTTGTTGGTCTAAACGAACACTTTATGATTGTCGATTGTATAATTAACATTTAATCAATAGGGTTCTGCTGCTGATTTGAGATGTTGTGGCCTACACCATAGTTTTTTAGCCCTTGAATGTAATGCTTGTGCTGTAATCGCTACACCTAGTCTAGATCGTGGAAAGTTTTTTAATTATTTGCAGTTACTCCTATTCTTACTGCAGATAGTTGTATTTTTTTTTTTTAAAGAAAAAGATGGAAGTCGGGGGAGGTTAAAAGCTGTAATTTTTATGGCTTTGTCAGGTATTATCTTGTTCCCTTTATCTGTCTGATTCCTGATTGATGTTTTGTTATCTTTTGTATTCAAGTGTCTTTGTTATATGGGCTTCCTGGAAATTGTAGGTACATGGGCAATGGTTGAGGGGAAAAACACTTCCGCAAATCCAGTATTTATTATAAGCCTAGCTGGACCGAAGAAACTGACTTATAGTAGTATCAGTAGAAGTGGTATGGAATTTGAATCTGATTGGACAAAGCATAGAAAACTATCGGCCTTCACTGCACAAGAAATCCATTTCGCGACATCTATTATGCCTTGGTCTTGTAGAATTCCCATGGGTGAAGGCTTTCACGAATTCCTTTAATCAGCTTCCGGAGTATTCTTTTATGCTTGTGTCAGACGCATTTGACTTGCTAACGGCACCAAATTTTTACCATCTGTGACTTGAAAATAATATGCCAAGACTTTTTTCTATAAAGAGAATCAAGGAATCAGAAATGTGTTTCACCGAAACCAGTCACCAAGCTTCTTCAAATGGTTTTACTTTAGTTTCTAAAGCTGCTGAAAATAAAAGTGGTTCAATCTCTATTTTTGAGGTCTCCAGTGATTGTTGTAACCCAATCTTGCCCGGATTGCCCGATGATGTGTCGAAACTCTGCCTTGCTCTCGTCCCGCGATCTGATTTCCCTGCCATGGGTGCTGTGTCTAAGAGATGGAGATCCTTCATCCAAAGCAAAGAGTTCACCACTGTTCGAAAACTGGCTGGTATGCTTGAGGAATGGCTTTATATATTGACTCTGGATGCTGAAGGGAAAGAGAGCCACTGGGAGGTTCTAGATTGTCTTGGAAACAAACACCGGCGACTTCCAGCAATGCCTGGACCTGTTAAGGCGGGATTTAGTGTTGTTGCTCTCAATGGAAAGCTTCTTGTCATTGCTGGATATTCTGTTGTAGAAGGGACTAGTTCTGTCTCGGCGGATGTTTTCCAGTATGATCCTTGTCTGAACAGGTTAACTCTCTTTCTCTCATATTTTTGTCGCCCAACAAATCAGTTTTATTGCTTTTCTGAATTTGAGTTTTGGTTCTGGAATAACTCACAGCTCGTGATTTGTTAAATAATTGAGACATCCGATAGCTGCTGTTAAGGACATATCCTCAAAATTGGATGGTCAAATAATTTCATCTCTTTTTAGTTTCATTTGCTCCCTTTAGCCGTCCATCTATCAAACTAGATTCTAACACCACACGACAAATAAAACGTTTTGTATTGTTTTTATTTCGCTTTTCTGTTTACGTTAATATTTTGTAAGTCAGTTGCTTGACTTTCCAAAGCATACATGCATGAGTTTTTTTATTT